TTAAAAAAGTTCATATAGAACTCAAAAGAAAAAATTGGCACACTTATGATGTAACGTTCTTTAACCAGTTGACGTTTGTAGTGATGCCATGTTTTATTTGAGGTAGGAACTGAATTTTCTGCGTTCCATGACATCAGACTAACATCTGTTCTTATCAAGGTCCATTCTCTTCTGCTTCTGTTTATAAGGGAGCAACAAAAGAGCATTAAAAGTTGGCACTCATGAGTGAATATCGAGAAACAGTAACAGAGTTAATGCACCAGAATTGTTGCACAATGCACACATTTCCTAACTTGTTAAATTTTATAAGCATTTAAACACAATTAATAAATTCTCCTGAAAACATTGCTAATAAACTAATATGCACTAAGGATACATAAAGTATCGTGTATGGTAGAACCTGCACTGTTTCTAGGGGACTGAAACATATCTAAAGTATGTCAAAGTAAAGAAAACTATGAAGGAGTCTTTTTGAAATTATTGTGTTACATTAATGAATTTTTATATTGCAGTTAGCTGTAGATATGCATTTTACAACAAAAAAAGAATGTAGTGCAGAAAACACATTTTTATCACAAGGTCTTCCCAGAGAAGCCGGGTGGGAACTCTTGACCTCTGCTTCTAAATATGGTCAATATTACAATTTTTTTCTTTTTTGCAGGAATTGCAGGACAGTTTGTACCCTGCAGCTCTTTACCTAACTGAGCTGAAGCCTGGAGAAGAATTTTATCATGATCTGAATAATCCTCTTACTCGCCCTTGTGTACCCTGTGAAATCCTGTTTGTTGTTGGTGGCTGCAGCCTTGGTCGGCCCACAAATGTAATGGAAATGTAGGACACAAGGAGGGTAAAGTAAAGCTGTGATTCTACATACCATGTTCGCGTTGGGGGGAGGGGGAAGAAGTATAACTGCAACTCATTCTTGACCTCTGCACTAGATGAAGGTCAGTGGTCAACGTGGTTTACCCGTGGGAAAAGGACCCCAGTCACCCATTCGATAGGACGTTGGGTGAGTCAAAGAACCAATCTGCTTCTGCCAGGGATCAAACCCTGATTGTGAGTCCGCATTCATACACTGTACTGACTGACCAATGCCGTCTCTGTAACAAATGCTTTCGTGCTGTGTGATTACTCTGATTGTATATATTCTGTATAATGAGATCACATATTTTGAATTTGGCCATAAGATACACTGTTATTAATGCTAATCATTTGACTTTTGTTTTTAGGGCAGGCAGATGGTTCTTCTCTGCTGATACTGATGCTGCATCCCGAGCCTATCATGCTCTGTGTGTATAATCTCATTTACATGATTGGAGGTTTCGATGGGAAGGAATATTTTAACGCGGTACATCGCTACAACCCGGTAACTTGGGAATGGAAGGAGCGTGCATATCTATTATAACTTCTATCTATCTATTCAAATGGTTGTTAATATTCCAGTTAGTATATACAGTAACTAGATTCTGAATAACCATAAAACAGGCCTCATTTGCCATGCAGAAGATTTCCATTCACTTATACACACATCAAAGAGGGTTATTCCTGCCAGCATCTGTGCAAATAATCTTGCTGACTCTTGTGTCCTGCATTAAACATACTGTTCACTGTATGTGGAACACTGCATCAATGGAGAATTAGTACATTTTAGTTATTAAGATTTAATTTATCATGCAGCTGACCAGTTGTCTTCAAATGTATTCTCTGAGGATATACTGGTAGCACACAGCAAGAGTCTGGTTGGTTATTTATGTTTGTGTTGAATCCTTAACTAGAAACAATGAACTGTGATAATTTTTTGGATTAGTGTGTAAGCTTGGTGCCATATATACAGGAAGTCTCAGAATGAGTGTTCTCACTTTAAACATTTTTATTGAGAAAATAAACAGAACTGGGAGAGTACAGTCCTCACCACGTGAAACAGCAACTTAGGAAGTTTTTTTCACCGTCTTGCTCCACTTCACTGCATTTTGACTTGAGCTCTCTTTGTTGCTCGCACAATATCCATCTGGTATTCAAAAGCCTGGAAAGTGTTGCCACACATTTGAGGCGTAATTCTTTCAACAAACTTGATGATGAAGTTTTTCACATCTTGCAAACAAGTGACTCGTGTGCGGTACACGTGGTCATTTGTGTACCCCTAAAGGAATAAATCCATGGATGTTAATTCCGGCGATCATGCAACAAGCCCACCTCTTCCATTCTATCTTACAGGATAAGTTGTGAGTTACTGTTTCATGGGGTTAAGACTGTATGCTCCTAGTTCTGTTTATTTTCTCAATAAAAATGTTAAAAGTGTCTACACTCATTCTTAGTTGCTGATAATTTTATCAAAAGATGGAAATCCTATTATTGTTGCATTCATATATTTTGTTAACATGTCATTTGTACAATGAAGATCCTCATCTTAATCATAATAACCTGTTACATGACCAGACAGTTGGTCTGTGATGTGTTGACACAGTCAATTAACAGTAGTATGCAAATATTATTTCACAGTCCTTCTATCAGAAACTAAATGAAGGGGGGAGTTAAAGCTGATGCAGTGATTTTTGCTCACTGAGATAACCTGTTTATGTACAGCCAGCAGACCTACTGAGCAATAACAAATCCTCACTCCCCACTCATTTGACATTGTCATTACTTTGTGATTGATGAGAGTCTGATGTGCTGATATGTTGCAAGGTCTGATCTAACATTTAAATGATCCATTGTCATTTAAGATGCCACCATTTTAGTCTAGAATACATTCGCAAAGATGTCAGAGCTTGGATATAGGGGAAAACTTTTATGAATTTATGATGAAAGAAGCAGAAAGAAAAATTAATGGAAGTGACTACAAATTTTATAATTAATTACAGCATTTGCAAAGAAGAGTCCAAGAAATGGAGATATGTAGAAGGTCCCTTAGAAGGATAATAAATTGAGAAGAACATAAGAAAAAAGGAAATTCATTTGGACTTCTATAAATAAGCATAATGTCCCAAAGATAAAGATAAACAACAAAAATGTAGACGCAAAAAATGAGCATATCTACACATGAAATGGAAGTGACCAATTCATACACATTAACTTAGCAAACCTCTGAAGTTGTCCTTTATTTAAAGGCATTGTATACCAGTTGTGATAGTGCAGTTTTATTCATTGCTCTGTACAACATTGCGTTATGATTTCCAGCTGTATGTATTTACCAATATTGACCCAATAAAGGCTATTAAAGTCAAGCTGTCCCGCTACGTACCATGGAGGTAGGGGAGGCAAACCAATAGACCGTGAGACCGGCTGCCTCAAGTTCAGTTCTTGGGAATGATGAAAGAATGCTGCCCCACTCTGTATAATGTAATAAATTGCAAATACTTTCCAGAGTACTGAAAAGATAATAAATATTTCATACCAGAAATGTACTGCAGTGTAAAAATTTATGTCCTTACATTCTGAATTAATTCTTTTGTATTAACATTAAAAGGGGTAAATATTGTCCATAGAAAGTGTAAAGAAAATGTTGCATTGACTAGTTATGCTACAGAAGCTTTACAGTTACATTGACATATTCTGTAGTAAAATGGTACCTGAATTCATAATTCTGGAATTCTGATTAATGTATGTTCTATATAAATGATCTTTTAAAGCCGCTACGTTTTTATTTTGAGGTCTCGCCTTGTGGAAATCTGCAATCTTATACCAGTTGGGCCATTTCAAAGGAGAATGTTGTCTCCATCTTCAGATTTGCAGTAGGATTTTGGTAGGCTGTTTAAAGGTGTTACTAATTTATTTCAGACTTAGGAAATTTCAAGTGCCTTACTTTTGTTGCAGTGCGTATAAGCAGTCACAGTTTCTCATACGTGTCATGTAACTGTGACGGGGATTTAAAACCTTCAGACCTCAAGAATATAAGAAGAAATCAATACTGTTTACTTCTGTATGTTAGCTTAACAGCAAAATCAAGTCACTACATTTTTCACTGATCATTCTACAACTATGATGTTTGATGAACTGAGTAATATCCTTGTTTATTTAACACAGCATTACATAGCCTACTTTGAACCATAAGAAGCAAAATTAGATATCAGGCTCTCATGGAGATAAATAAAGAAGTTTGCTATCTTCTGGAATTTTGTATCACGTAGTCTGATAGAAATTCACTGAAGTTTCAGAGACGGTAAGCACCTCAGAAATGTTAATCAATTTATACCAGACTACATGGTGAAACATCTGTATTACACCAATCACCATAAGAAGTAAGCTTCAATGACTCTTGCCACAATAAGAGTACAGAAACATAATAGAATCATCATCAGAACTGTGGTCCTTTTCTGGTTCTAATTTGAATTACTTATATTTTTCCGTGTCCTCCAGTTTGGTGTTTTCAGAGTTTCTGAAAACAAATATTCTGATAATATTCTTGCTTGGCAGCCCATATCTTAAAGTGAAATGTTTTATGCAAAAATAATAGTGACGGGAAGCAACCTAAGGAATATGTCCTATGTACGTGATATGAATCAAATGCTCGTGGTAATATTTATTGTGTGTCATACACCATGTTCATCTACCGGCACTTTTACAACTTTGTGTTATTCGGATATAGTGTCTAGATGGCAGGAGAAGCACTTCGCCATCTGTGACTTTGTAGTTATCGTCATTTATTGACACGTTTTTACTCTGTGCTGAGAATACTTTACACTTCTGGGGATGCTCTTTTGTGTCTGAAATGAATTGGTTTAAATAAGGTAAGTAATTTGATTTTAAATGTCCTCCTACATTGACTATTGGTATGTCATGGCTTGATTCTTTTAATGTTCCTTGTTTTGGTTTAGATTTTCAATAAATTAGTTGCTTCAAATAAGATTATTGTAGGTTATCTGTTACTTTGAACTCGTATTGTAGTTACTTGTTCATTTGATAAAAATACTTTGGTGAAGTTTGTTTAATACTGATGCTTTTCTTACGTATATGTGGTTGAAGTGCCCCTTTCATCGTTCGAGTTACGACTTGTCATTTTATATGAGTTATGATAACGCAGTTTTATTCATTGCTCTGTACAACATTCCATTATGATTTCCAGCTGTATGTATTTACTAGTATTGCCCCAATAAAAGTGGTTAAAGTCAAGTTGTCCTGCTACTTGTTATGGGGTCAGTGGGATTGTAGGGGAGGCAAGGCAGTAGGCCTGTGTTTCTATATTTTCCATACAGAGTAAACTTCTAAATCAACCTTTTATTACTTGTAGTTTTTGAAGAACCTTTGCCTTCAGTATGGATTACAAATGTTAACATTGACATATATTTGGTTGAATGTCTTCTAGTTGATTTTATTGACAAATCAATGCTTTAAAAAATTGCAAAAAACTATTTCTCTACACAGGAGAGAGAAAAACTGCCATAATGGTGTAGACCTAGTTACGAAAATAATTAGATGATTAATGGGGCTGTATGGTGATATATGGAGCAACCTAACATCACATTCCAAATATATATAATTATAAAGTAAATATGCACCCTAAATCATTTATTTTTCTGAGATTGCTGAAGCAGCACCTAGAAGCAAATTTTTCACAGCCAAACTGTTAAAGACCAGATGTTATAACTTACGATCCTACAACCACTAACAGAAAGTCAGTAACAACAGACAGCCCAGAAAATTGTTAAGCGTCTTGTCTGCGCAGTGCATGGATTGCCTGGAAACCAAGTCAGAAGTGGACGTAGGTCTGTTTTATGAATCATCAATTGCAGGCAGTGCTTATGTAGTGGCAAATGAGATGTGGCAGCCTGAATTTTACATTTTGCATAGAAAGATGCATGGAAGTTGCTGTTGCCTATTTTAAATTTTGTAATATACTAGAATTCTCCTGAAAATAGGAAAAAAATAAATAGAATGAGAAAGGCTGTCTCCAAATATGAGTTGTACAAATACCTTCCAAATGCGAGACTGACTTGAAGTAGTAACCAGATGTTCAGTGGGGAATAACTAGAGTACTCCAAACAGGAGATTTATGAATTTAGAGTAAAAAAGGAATGACTTTATTCATTGAGATAGATTTTACTGATACAGAACATTTTGTTTCAGGTCAGTGCATTTTGAGTTGTAACCAGGAAGGTGCGATGAGAATTGATGTATGATATCAAAACTACAGTGGGGCTTTACCACCCAGATCCTTCCCCAGCATGCTTGCTTTGTTGGGTCCTGGTCCTTGGCAACTGTTATAGTAGGTTTGCCCCATGGGGAACCAAGCCTGGTCACTCGCATTTCCATTACCCTGGTTGCAGCATGAGTGCAAGGATGCCCTGTTATTGCTAGACATATAGTTCAACAAAATGATGGGAGAAATCATAATGTAAGTGGCCTTGGATCCCATTGGAACATCAATGTACCCCAAAGAGTACACCATTCCAAGCATGCTTTTAAGCTTGCTAGTTAAGATAAATAGTAGGTTATCAGTACATAGTGTGTTCAAAGTCAAAGCTGGCAGTAATGGTTCCATATGCTGAAATGGCCGCAGATTAACCTTTCAGAATTACCTGAGCCAATGGGAGTGACACACAATTTCATCTTGCCTAAAATTTAAACTCATGTAGCCTATGATGTGGTATTAAGTTACAGACACAGTTTTTAAAAATGAAATAAGAACCAAATCCTTTAACAATATTTACAGAATTTCTAGATCAGTTTAGTTGTGCTAAAAGTCTGACATTCATACTACTCTAAAGACCACGGTTTGACTCCTGGCAGAGGCAGAGAATTTTCCTCTTGTCACATCCAGGCTGACCCTGGAGTTCATTTAGCCTTCTATGGAATGGATCAGTATCTATGCTCTTTCCCAACTGGCCAGAGCATAAAGCTGATCACTCATCCACCTAGTTCCAGATTTAGAATTGTGTGGTGCTGTACCTCCACCCTCCATACATCTTCATGTGGTGATTAACCTCTTGTATGTCATATATAAAATCATGCATGCCAACGAAACTGTTTACACATTAAATAACACTTTGTGTATAAACAGATTTGTCTGTATGCATGATTTTATATATCAATACACTGAACGGTGTGCAACGTTTTAAGACTCTTGTATGTCGTTCTGGAAGAGGGGTTTAAACCCTGTAAAACAGGGCTGCTGGACAGGCTTAAAATCTGGGATTTATGATTTAGCAGTGTTTTATTGCAATTCATGGCAAGCTGGGCAGAACGTAAGCCATGACACAATTGATGAAGATTATTTTGTGGAGCCACAGCTGTGAATTTGGGGACTGTTAGGATTTAAAGTGGTTCTTTCTTCTTCTCTGTCTTGTATCATTTCCTAGAAAATCTGTTTATTCTTTGTCTTTCTTTAAAAGTTGACGTTATTTACACTTCAGAAGAAGCATAGCATTGTTTACCTTCTCATCAAGTTGAATTCGTGTTAACTCCTTTTTTCCACAGTCTGAATGGTTCTGATTTTAGCAGAATTTATTTTGTCATTTCTTTCCCCATCCCATAAAGTGCATTCCCTTTAACCATCAAGGGACTGTTGTCCTTTAATTCACTGTTTCCGTCTTCCTCTTGTCACATCCAGGCTGACCCTGGAGTTCATTTAGCCTTCTATGGAATGGATCAGTATCTATGCTCTTTCCCAACTGGCCAGAGCATAAAGCTGATCACTCATCCACCTAGTTCCAGATTTAGAATTGTGTGGTGCTGTACCTCCACCCTCCATACATCTTCATGTGGTGATTAACCTCTTGTATGTCATATATAAAATCATGCATGCCAACGAAACTGTTTACACATTAAATAACACTTTGTGTATAAACAGATTTGTCTGTATGCATGATTTTATATATCAATACACTGAACGGTGTGCAACGTTTTAAGACTCTTGTATGTCGTTCTGGAAGAGGGGTTTAAACCCTGTAAAACAGGGCTGCTGGACAGGCTTAAAATCTGGGATTTATGATTTAGCAGTGTTTTATTGCAATTCATGGCAAGCTGGGCAGAACGTAAGCCATGACACAATTGATGAAGATTATTTTGTGGAGCCACAGCTGTGAATTTGGGGACTGTTAGGATTTAAAGTGGTTCTTTCTTCTTCTCTGTCTTGTATCATTTCCTAGAAAATCTGTTTATTCTTTGTCTTTCTTTAAAAGTTGACGTTATTTACACTTCAGAAGAAGCATAGCATTGTTTACCTTCTCATCAAGTTGAATTCGTGTTAACTCCTTTTTTCCACAGTCTGAATGGTTCTGATTTTAGCAGAATTTATTTTGTCATTTCTTTCCCCATCCCATAAAGTGCATTCCCTTTAACCATCAAGGGACTGTTGTCCTTTAATTCACTGTTTCCGTCTTGCTAGCTTAATGATGTATCTTTTCTTTTACTATTTATCCCGCTGTTACATTTTCTCTCTCTTCTGCCTCAAATTATGTCACCTTAACAAACAGTTCACGCTTGTCTTTCTTATTTGTTTCTTGTGAATGGTGTCCAATTACCTGTTCTTATTCCCATGTCCCATTGAATTTGTTTTCTTTTTCCAATTAACGTAGCAACTAAAACAACTTGAGACACACTTTGTCCCTTAAGCGTTGTTCATTGTGATAACAATATGAAACTTATATCTTAATTGCATCCTGCTTGTGTTCCTCAATACAATACTTTTATTTTCCGTCGTTTCACAAGCTTATTGTTAAAATCACATAAAATTTCACATAAAATTGTTACATTTTTAAAATTGACGACATGTTTCGATATACAATTCTATCATCGTCAGGTCTATCAAAATTAAAATTAAAATCTGGTGTATCTGTTGCTCTGCTTATATTGATTTTACCCGTTTTTGATTTTATTACATCTCCAGGCTTCTTCCATTTAATTTTGGAGACTGCGCCGATATAGGCACCCAGGCGCAGTCTCCAAAATTAAATGGAAGAAGCCTGGAGATGTAATAAAATCAAAAACGGGTAAAAACAAAATCAATATAAGCAGAGCAACAGATACACCAGATTTTAATTTTAATTTTGATAGACCTGACGATGATAGAATTGTATATCGAAACATGTCGTCAATTTTAAAAATGTAACAACTTTATGTGATTTTAACAATAAGCTTGTGAAACGACGGAAAATAAAAGTATTGTATTCTTGTCCCAAGTCTTGAGAAGTCACTCGTCCCAAGTCTTGAGAAGTTATTGTCCCAAGACTTGTCTGCTTGTTTAGGGCTGTGCCTCACCTGTCTTAGCTGAATTGAATTTTTTTT